CTAAAAAAAAAAAAAAAAAAAAAAAAAAAAGCAGTTTCAGGACAAGCTCACTAAGAGATGAGAATGGGGGAGACTAAGGCGATTTTAGAGACTTCTCGTTTTGTAAAATTATATTAAAATTACATCTCACTGAGAGAATTTTAAGAACGCAAACAATAAAAGCAGGAAGAAAATAGCCTGCAGGAGAAATAAAGAGAGGAGCATAAGCAGAAAGAAGTGACAGGAAGGAAAGAGGGAGGGATAGAAAATTTCAGGTAAATTGTCAAATTTCAAGGCGGAGTGGCACATATGTCCATTTGACTTTGGACGATACTATATATTTTAAATTGATTTACCTTTCAAGCAGTGTTTGCCAACATCCCCTGCTTTGGAGGACATGTTGAGATTCTTTTCGGCAGTGTGTGAGCAAAAACAAGTTCAAGTTATTATTAGTTTTCTTTTCTGGGGGGTTGTCGGTGGCCAGACCTACTTTAGGAGATTTCTCCTTATATTGAGTCATTAAAAGCCCTTGATTCATACATTCATTCAAAGTGTTTACACTAGCTCAAACTTGAGAATTTGGCCCAGGTGGCACCATGTCAGACACTGATTCTTATTGCTTCAGAGGGAGGGGGACATGTCCCTGTGCCTGACAGTAACTGCAGCACTGGGTGAGACGGGACATCCCTCGCCAAGAATACACGGCTTTATTGAGGTCAAATGAAACTTTGCCCAGTTCTTTACTCATATGGAAAGTGAATGTGTCTAATTCACCTCCCAAAAAATGGGAAAGGGAGCACAGAGCAGAAAGGCAGATTACCCCGAATCGTTTGAAAAGACTATGTAGACACGAGAGAGAGCTGCGTTCTGCAGCCCCACGTGGTTTTTAGCCCCCTTGAACCCTTTGCTATCTGCAGACTTAAAACTGTCTAGCTCACAGCCATGGAAAGAAACAGGCATACTGTTTTAATCCCACCCAGAGGCACAGCAAGCTGGAGCTCCAGCCAAAACAGATTCCATTTCCTTCCCAGACTTGATAACTTTATTTTATAAAATGAGCTCGGTGACATTTCAAGGGTTAACGAGAGAAGCCTTTGGAAATCCTGGACTGGCATTTATTTTTTAAAAAATATTTACACAACTTAGCTTTATAGGGTACCACTGTGGGTATATGTGTGTGTTTTAAGAGCTCAAAGGATTTAATATTTTCTCTCCAAACCCTAAAATCCTCCAAAAGCACAGAAGAAGGTGAGATTTATTAGGCCCATTTGGAAGGCTGTGACTTCTACTCACTTGAAGGTTGAAATGCAGGAGGGCAGATCACTTGCTCACTCCTCTGCCAGGTAGTGTGAGAGGAAAACTAGAACTCCTGTTTTCCGAGTCCCATTTTCAGAATCCCTCCCTCAGGCCACTCCTGCTTCCGTTCAGACCCAGTGTGGGAGTTCAGAAGGACCAAATACTCCTCCACTCAAGTAGCTTAAGAGAAGTCTCTGCTTTTCCCCTTTGTTAACCCTGATAGGGGAGCTGGAGAAAGAATGCTTCGCCTCCAATGTCCCCTGGCTCCAGATTTCTCTTTAAAAAGTGCCGGAAGACCAGATGCCACACAGCATCTCAGGGTTCTCCCTCTGGGGCCCAACCCTCCTTTACGGTGCTGCTGGGGAAGAGAGTTTGAAACTGGCAGAAAGCCTTGGCAGTGAAAGGCAAATTCAAGTGTGGGAGAAGGCCGAGGAGAGTGGCAGATTGCTGCCTGGAGAGAATGGACCTTCTTTCTCCCTTACAGCTGGTGAGGGTTCCTGGACCTCACCATCCTCCCCTCCCTGAGGGTTAGGCTGCTCAGACACCACATCGATGAAGAAACCCACTGCTGGGAGTGGCTCCTCTCAAACAGGCATTTGTCGTATCAAATGAGTGATGGGAGAGGGGGAGGTGAGGAAAGATATGAGAAACTGAAGCAATCTGCTGTCACATCATCAGTTTTTAATGAAAACTCTACATCGTCTCATCCTTACAGAGATAGAATTCATTCCTTGGACTTGGGAAGATGCAGCATTGTGTGTGTGTGTGTGTGTGTGTGTGTGTGTGTGTGTGTGTGTGTGTGTGGTGTTTACTCCATCATCAGAAAATAGTCTCCCCTTTTCATTAAAATTTTTTTTCCCTATAAACCAAAGTTATGTAAGTTCATTTTAAAAGATTTGGGAAATATAGAAATGGGACCCAGAAGAAACTAAAATTCACCTATAATTGTAGCACATAATTTTATCAATATTTTGGTGAATAGCCATAGTCTGTTCTTTATTCTTTAATGGTATCTAAGTTCCAAGAGCACGGGGATCTTGCTCACCTCTGTGTCCCAATGCTCTGACAGTGTCTAGTACGTGGTGACCTGTAGATGGATTGGTTGGATGCATAAATAACTATATAAGAATAATTCAAATGGAAATAGGTTGTCATGACGCAACAGAGAATAGAGTTGCTTGGATGTAGCAGACTTGGAACCAAGCTGCTACTGCTAATTTACTGTGTTTCCTAAGATCAGTCACTTCACCTCTCTGGGCCTGAGTTTCTTCTTCGGTAAACATAATCATTATAGTGAACCCTTATTGAGTGCTTACTATGTTCTCACCATTGTCATAAGCTCTCTATGTGTATATCTCACCATAACTCTATGAGATAGGTATCTTTTACCCCCATTTTATGCACAAGGAAACTGAGGCATGGAGAGGTTGACTTGCCCACAGTCACACAGATAATAGGTGGAGAGCGGGGCTTGAACTCAGGCACCTGGGCTCTCTTCTCCAGTGGAATGCCTGGCTGTGGAATTAGATGACTCGGAGGGCCCCTCCTGGCTCCAGTGCTGAGTGACAGACGGAGGAGTGGTGCAGGGAGACTGTGAAGATTATGCTCTGGGCCAAGCACAAGAAAGTCAGTTGTGGAGCAAGGTCCACATGATTAGTGTATGGAGATCAGAGAGCAAAGTTCTAATGTAGCCAGAGGACTTCCTTCTGAATATGCAGAGTCCATCTGGGAATTCACAGAGCATAATGAAAAACCAGCCTGGTGTCCAACCAGTGCTCCACCATTCGGAGGCAGGGTTACGAGGACTCTTGGCGTGTCCCCTTTTGCTTCCGGAGCCTCACCTTACATTCACCCACAGGACAGTGCACCAGGGTCAGGCAGGGAAGTAAATAACAAATAAATCTGATTATTCTTGACCGTGAGCAGCAGCTGATGTGTTTAATGGGGGAGGAAGAATGGCAATCTCCTTTGATGATTAGATAGGATTTCAACAGGACACTGTCCCTTTTCCCCCTCCTCCTTGGATGAAAGTTTGGGAAGATAACTTGTGTTTTGCCTTATCCCCATGGTAACCAAATCTCCTTTTTGGTAAGGAGGCATGGGCTTCGGTAAACAGATCTATTTGTGTGACTCCTATTACTCATTTGAAGCAATGTCACTCCTTTTTCCACTGTAGTCTGTGTGTCTGAGTCAGAGGGAGCCTAAACAGGCTTCTTTGAATTGATGGCTCCCTCCCAGCCTCTCTTGACAGGCTGCCAACATAGCAGGGCGTAGCTTACCAACAAATCTTTTTTTTTTTTTTTAAACCAGACTGATTCATAGAAACTCCTTTAAAACACAGCGAAAAGAAACCGCCCATCACACACCCCAGCACACCAGCGCAGGAAACTTATAACCTCGGGAGGCAGGTCCCTCCCTTCACTGTGGTCACAAACCTTCAGAGGAGCGGACCAACTGACCAGGCAGCTGCCAGCTTCTGCCACTCAGGGCACCTCCGTCGCCGGGACCCTCAGGTAGGACAGCTCCCAACACTGCAGGGAAACTCAGAGAATGCTCTCTTTCCTTTTCACTGCTCTCCTTCCTTTGAGCTCATGTAAGTTTTGCTTTTTCTCTTTTCCTTTTATATTTTTCTATGATTCCTTGAAACTTTTGGCTAAAAGTGGCCATGGAGACAAATTTTTTCGTAAGGTTCAGACAGGGTACTTTGACAACAGGGGTGAGGGGGTGAGGGTCAGGGAAATCAGCAGGACTGGGCTGTAATTATGTCTTGCCGTAACTGGGTTCTTGCCCTGAAGCTTTGAAGGGAGCAGGGACTTTGGAACACACCGGGATGGGGTATTCTTTATGGAGGAAACACTACATACCTTTGAAATGACATATAGCACTTGGCAGATGTTTTCCATTTCTCCATTTTGATTCAAATTGCTTCAGGACTTGAATTGTTTCTCTGCCTGTTGGTTGTTTGCTGGTCTTCTTCTGGCTGATAGTGGATAGATATCTGCTTTTTAGTTAATTTTGCTGTTGCTTTTACTACTACCCTTTTGCTTGTTCATTCAGTTCTGTTTAAGTGTTTTTTCTCCCTGAAGGATGGGAGGAGGGGTGGGTGGGTTTTGTTTAAAGAAAACCGTTAGAGAAGGAGGGAGGGAGTGAAAGAGGGAGGGAGAGAGAGAGAGAGAGAGAGAGAGAGAGAGAGAGAGAGAGAGAGAGAGAGAGAGAGAGGCAATTTGTGTTTCAAATAAAATTCAAAAGGGGCTCATTTGGTGGAACCAGTAACCTGATGTGGATTTCAGAGCTTCTTCTCTCCTTGGCAAATGTTCAGGGGAGAAACTGGATTTAAGGGAGAGGGTGGGGCAGGGGAGCTTTATCTGTTCCTGTAACAAAAATGTTGAATGGCTTTATGCTTCCACTCCAGAAACAGCTGAACTTTTTGAGTGAAAAATTGGTATATCAGAAATTATAAAAGGACATTTTTTAGGTGAATATGGAATTTTTTCTGCATGGAAAGCAGTGATTGTTTGGGAACTTGCGTCTCCTCACTGTTTTCCAAATCGTGGTTGTATAAATGCAAACACTCGTGCTAACCATGAAGTGAATCTGGAGAAAGGAAGAAGGGTGATTTCTGGGTTTTTTTCCAGGTTAGCATTTTGGTTGAGGTGTGGCCTATTTCAACATAAGATACTGGTGGATTCCCCCCCCCCACCTTCCCCCACCTCACCCATATAAACAAGACAGGGAAAATGACAGGATTCAGCTTGTCTGATGAAATTAGGCTTTTCCTTTAGAAATGCAGTCCTTGGAAGAGAAGATTTAAATGTAATCAGCCTGTGTGCATTGGACAGGCAACACTCTTAGTAAAACTGCCCCAAGGGGGATGATTAAGTAAGCACAAGGGCAACTTTTCAAGATGCAAGGAACTCCTGTATTTGCTTAAAATGTTTATTATTTCCAGATTGCATGGATGTGGATTAGGGAAGCCATCATTAAGTACATAGTAATGGTAATCTATGAAGCTAGTACAAATCTTTTCGTTCTGTACAGGTTAAAGCTAATAAGCAATATATAACCAGCCAGCAAATAGAATATTCTGGGGGCGTAAACCATCATGAACTGTATTATTTGTGCAGCGTTTTGCATTACACTGTTTTATAAATGAGAAAATAGGCTGCATGTTATTTCCTGGACGTTGAAGGTAATTTTAAAAATGCTGTTCTGATTCCCACTTTCCCCTCTTCCTCCAAGAAGTAGTGACAGAGTTCCTCAGCTGTGGCAGCTTTTCTAGACTGCAGCTGTAAGTCTTTGACAAGGCTGAAACGTGAAGGTCCTATTTTCTCCCCCTGCTGAGGAGGATCCTACCCTCAGAGAAGGATCAAATTCCATCCCAGACTCTGAAGAATGGAGCGGGGAGGCTGGGGGCACAGTGCTGCCGGGAGGGCTGCAGTTCATCCGGTCTGGCGTCCTGGTCAGGGGACCCCCCAGATTGTACATTGTTTAAGGGAACTAAACTGTCCTGGGAGTTGGCAGAAGGCCATCAAGGACCAACCCAGAACAGATCACATCCCAGAACAGACGCTGGCTACCTCCCAGGAGTACAGGGCAGACCTCGGAGGAAGGAAAGACATCCTTCCACAGACCACTGAAAAGACTTAATGTGGCTTTCTCAACTTTCCTGCTTCCCAGTGGAGACCAGCGTGGGCCTATCCAGTTCCCAGGGGGATACCCGACTTGGGGCGGGGGCAGGGGTTGGTGGCTAGTAAATGGGCTCCATGGAGACCACCCTGGGGATGCAGACCCTCTTGACTTAGTCTGGCTGGCTCTGGGGGTGTTGGTTCTTGCTGGGACTCACTGAGATCAATGGAGAGAGAGCAGTCAGAGACCTGGAAGGCTTATGGAAGAAGACAAACAGCTTTTCTGCAGACTCCTCAGAGCCTGATGGGAAATACATCTGAAAAGTGGCAGTAGACAAGGGCACAAAGCAGATTTAGTTACATTCCACCCTTGATTTTGTTCAGTGAATTCTCAGTGTAGGAGGGATCTTAAAGATCAATGCTTCCATTCTCCAACCAAATGCAGAAATCTTATTTCGACACCACCTCAGACAGATGGCCATTTTACATTTCCTTGAAATTTCCAGAGGGGGGCCTAATATCTTAGAGTACACCTCCATACTCATCCCTGTGAGGGCTAAAAAAAATTAATACTTTTCCTCTTACCTCCTAAGTTATTATTCTAGCTGGGCTAATAATCAAATTAACAGAGACAGATTAACAGGAGAAAATAAAACGTTTAATATTACACAGAGGGAATTCACATAAGCGTGAAAAATTCCAAAGACAGTGAGGCAATATTAGGTATATATGACATTTTTGGACAAAGGAGACAGTGGAGAAAAGGGGTATTCGATTTCAGAAGTGAGAATGGGCCATTTACAGGTAGTTGACGAAGAGGGAACATACGTGGCAGGAACATTCTTGCTGGGCAACTCAGAAACAGTGGGACACAGGGGTATCTAGCTAACAGGTTCCAGCCTGAAGCTCCCCTATTTACCACACTTAATTCGAATTAAGCTCTTCAGGCTAAGGTGAACATCCTAAGATCTTCCTGAAGCAGGTTTTTCTGTCTGAATCTCTTGGGCAGGATAGGGAGGGAGTTTCTTTTGTGTCTTTTGTTTTTTAACAGACAGTTTAAAATCAATATCCCAAAAAAGCAGCTTCAGGGTGGAAAATTTTTGGTTCCCTTCATCCCCCTTTGCGGGGTAGCTCTAATTATTAGAGTCTCTTAAATCCAGCAAAATTGCTTTCTTTATAACTTCTATTCTTTGTTCCTAGTTCTGCAGTCTTGAAGCGACTCAGAAAATATCTATTCCATTTTTGTTGCTGCTGCTCCATCCAATGCTCCTTATCCTCTAAACATTTAATCCTTATTTAATATTCAATGGGTAAAACTTGATGGATCTGTATTATTATGATTATTAATTATTATTATTGTTGTTGTTGTTTAAGAACATTTTTGAAGCTTTGAAATTATGCACATGGTCAACCATATCCACATGATTTGATTCCAAAGTATTTCATTTGCTAAATACATGATGTGTTTCCTTCTTTAATTTACAACACGCATATACACAGCTGCCTAACACTGAAGCTCAGAGACATTTGGAACTTTCAAATATACCTATTCAGAAGAGCACACCCAGTTGTTACCCACAAAGTCATTGTTAAATCAACCCAATACCAGACATGGAGGCTTCTAACTTGGCTTCATGGGGTTGTCCCTTAACTTGGTCCGTGGTTTATGTAGCCCATACCTTTACACTGTTACTACCTGTCATGGTACCTACAGGAACAGGCTGCCAATCCAGTGTAACCTCGCTCTAAAGGCTGGTCAGCAGTCTGGATGTGAATCTGTTGATGTGAGCTCATCATCCTTAACCAGTACAGAGCTAAAATTTTCTGACCATGAAATTCCTGTTTCCATTACTCTTCCCAGTTCTGCCCAGATGACTTTGGGTTTCTATTCAGTAATCAAGGGAGCCCAGATATGGTTCCTATTAAGAGTTTACTTGAGTTCCCAACACCCCACCTCCAAACATGAATGTCTTAAGACAACCCTATAAATACTTCAGTCCCTGGTGCTCTGACTGGGTAAAATCATTTCTCTGAATTTAATTGGAAGATCTACTGATATGAAGCATAAAGATAAAACTACATATGTTTGTGGAGATTGCTGTCTCTCTCTCTTCCTTTTAAACAAAATAATTGGGTCAACATTTCCTTTTCTGTTGTGGAAATGGCATATCCCTGGAACTAAAATGGACTCTTCCGCTCCTGGTGCCAGTAGCCTTATGTGCATGTGGCAGTGTTTGTATTTCCTGAGCCTGTTTCATGAATTCTCTCTTCAAATGAGGTAATTAAAATTGAGAATCTTTTAGGCATAGGTTGAACCTGGAGGCAAGAATCCTAGGGTAGATGCAAGATGGCCAAACAGGAAGACCGAGAGGCCATGGTCTTGTCCCAACTCCATGTGTGACCATGGTTGTCATTTGTCTATTCAACTTGGTGGTCTCCAAGGCCCCCTGTGACTCTGAAATTCTATTGTTCTAAGATCCTACCATTCTTATTTTGAGAAATCCCTTGGCTCATGCTAACAGCTAGTTTAGTCCATAAAAATTGGTAGAAAAGTGAAATGATGCAACTTTTCACTTTTGGAACAGGCATTTTGCAGAGGATCGAGGACCCAGGGAACTTCCTCTGTTTCATTAGCTCAGAGATTCCTTAGGTATGGTGTTCACAGGCTCTGGGAAGAAACGGAAGAGGTTTGATCCATGAAACATAGAGAACACCAGCTCAGATGAGGAGGGGCAGGCTGTCTAAGCCTGGCAACAGTAAGGGACTCAACCAGGCTCAGGGAGAAACTGAGCAGGTCCTGGGAAAGGAGCTCCACCCTCTTTTCAATGTGGGAGACCCTGCACTGTGAGGGTGTGTCTGTAAAGGTGTGGACGAGAGCCAATGAGGAA